CGCTCGAATGAATTAGATTTGCGGCGCGAGAGTCCCGCTTGGCAACATGCGATGGAAATGTTGACAAGCAACTGGTTTTATCTTAAGACTCCGCAAGACCGCGAGAACTAGTTTTTTTTGGGGGGAAGCCAATGTTGCCAACCATGTGCTTTCTATACGTTTTCGGGGCACTCGTTTTTGACATCTTTGCGAACCTTGCTGACTTTTACCACATGTCGGCAAACGCGCGCGACGACGCGCACACGCGTCGCCCCAGTCTTTCACAAGGAATTCTTGCGACAGCACGCGCGCAAAAGGCGTTCGAGCGAAGCCGACGCGCGCGCATGAGAGGCCCGTTTGGCAGCAGCCTTTGAAAATGATGGGAAGCCGAATGCTTCCTTACAAATTCGCGAGGGCGCAGGCGCAAACTTTGTGTTGTTGAAAACCCTTGTTGCGAAACCGTGTGCTTTTATATGTTTTCGTGGCTCTCGACTACGACATTCTGACGACACCCTAGGTGCTTGACAGACTTCGGCACAGGCGCGCGACGACGCACGCGCGTGCACTTCGCACCACTCGTTGCAGGAGATCCGGGGGAACTACAGTTCATTACCCAAACCGATGCGTGGGCATACTAATATTTTGCAAAAGGATGGGGGGAGAAGGGGGGGAGGGGGGGGCGAACCCCGGCCTGGCTGCGATGGCATGAGTTCATGAAAAAAATACCAAGGAGACAGAATCATACGTAGACTGCTGCGCGCGAGGCCGGTCCGGTAAGTTCGGAGGGGTGGGGGCTAGAATTCATCTTCCCCTCAGAAAAGAACTTGTATGATGTGCATTCGATGTTGCGCATGATGCAGTGCGCAACCCACGAAGTGCAACCTATGCGGCGGAAGTTATGTTGTGCAAGGTGGTGCACTTGATTGTTACGCACGATTTGACAACAGCAACGCTCTTGCAAAAATCCTACCCGCCCACCCGCAACTTGGTTTGCAAAACCCACGCGGCGGCGATTGCGATGACCGCTTGGCGTTGGATCTCTGCGGCCGCGCTAGCACGCGCATGCTCGCGCACGGCGGCCACCTATTTTGGCGCGACAGACGCGGCCGCGGTGGCGCTGATCGGTGGGCGCGTCCCTGCGGGCACATCAGTGCGAGTCGGTGGCGTAGGCGGGCGCGGTACTATGGCGACGACGACGACGGTGCACCCGATTCTGAGAGCAGCGACGATGATGACGATGATGGTGATGACGACGGCAAGGCCAATGACGGCGCCGATGTTGATCGCGCCCGCCGATAACGATGACGACGCCCTCGCGCCGGCGATGGAGCTTCTTGAGGAAGTTCGACATGCGCGCGCGGCCGACGCCCGCGTGGCCCGCGCGGTTCTAGTGGGCACGGATCCACCCCAGCACGCGCACACGGCCGTTCGAATGAGTTCGATCTGCGGCGTGAGAGGCCCGTTTGGTAGAATCTGCTGGAAAAAATGTCGAACACATGTGGTTTTTCCCCCCCCTCAAAAAAAACAACGGCCGCGAGCGCAAGCTTCAATTGGAAACTGATGCTACAAAACCGCGTGTTGTGTGATATTTTCCAGAAGCTCGATTGTTTTCTTTCTGTTCTGTTTACGAGCGGCATGCGCGCGCGACGAAGCGCGCGCGCGTCGTCCAGTTTGCCGCGAGAAATTTGTGAGAAAGCGCGCGCGCACGGGCGTTCGAGCGATTTCGACACGCGCGCGCGAGAGGCCCGTCTGGTAGCATGTTATGAGCACGTTGAAGAACCCACGGTTTTCTTGAGCATTCGCAAGTGCGGGGGCGCAAGTTTTTTTTGAAAACCCTTGTTGCGGAAACCGTGTGTTTATATGTTGTCGGCGAAATCTACGGCTTTTGGCAGATTCGGGCATGCGTGCGCGACCACGCGCTCGCGTGCATTCGTCCCATACTTTGCACGGGATTATTGAAAAATTGTGGTCTCGGAAAAAAAAAGAAAACAACTGCGCGCGCATGCGATTTTTTGCACGGGATGAACGGAGGGGGGCCTGGACGGGGGCGGGGGGGCGAACTCCGGCCTCGCTGGGATGGTACGAGTTCAGACTTAAGATGCACGCTGGGGCAGCATCTTATGCAACTTGCAGAACGAAAAAGCGCCCGTGAATCCCAGGAGGGGGTTGATCCAAATGCTATTCGGTTCCAAAAAATGAGAACTGATATTTGCAAAGGGGTTGAAACATATGCCATGCCCCTGCGCAAATACCACCCGCCCACCCGCAACTTGGTTTGCAAAACCCATGCGGCGGCGATTGCGATGAGCGCTTGGCGTTGGCTGGCGCATATGTCTGCGGCCGCGCTAGCTCGCGCATGCGCGCGCGCAGCGGGCAGCTCGTTTGGTGCAACCGACACACCGCGGAACGCGGCCGCTGGGCACTTCCCAGCGGGCACTTCAGTGCGAGTCGGTGACGTGGGCGGTCGCGGTATCGTGGCAACGATACCGATTGTGAAAGCATTGGTGATGGCGACAATGGTGGCGATGACAACGGCAACGCCAATGACGGCGCCGATGTTGATCACGCCCGCCGATAACGATCGCGTCGGCGCTGAAGGTTTTTGAAGGAGTTCGGCATGCGCGCGCGGCCGACGCGCGCGAGTGGCCCGCGTGGTATTATTTGACACGTATCGTGCCCTCCCCCCAACACGCGAGCAAGGGCGTTCCAATGTTCTCGACCTGCGGCGCGAGAGGCCCGTTTGGAAGAATTGCATGAGCACGCTCAAGGACCAGGGTTGCCCTGACAATACGCAAAAAACGCGAGCGCATGTTGTTTGAAAGCTAATGTGACAAAACCATGTATTTTGATATGTGCTCGGGACACTCGTTCTTGAAATTGTCAAGCTATCAACTGTGTTTGAAGTATTCCAGCATGCGCGTGCGTCGGCGCACGCGCGGGCTTCGTCCCATTATGTTGGCAAGGATTCGCGCGACAGCACGCGCGCAAGGGTGCTCAAGCGATTATAGCATGCACGCGCGAGAGGCCCGCTTGGAAGCAAGTAACTTCAAACATATGGAAACAACTCCTGATTCACTTAAGAAGTCGCAAGAGCCCGAGCGCAAGCATTCCTGTACAAAACAAATGCTGCTGCGAAAATGTGTATGTTGTATGTTGTCGGGGCTTCTTTTTGAAATCCTTACGAAACCGACGATGTTTGAAAGATTTCGGCATGCGCGCGCGGCGACGCGTGCGTGCGCACTTCGCCCCATGTGTTCCTTCTGTTAAAAGGGTCTTAGAAACATTTACGACTTGTGATGAAACAGCGCGCGCATAGCATTTTCTGCAGAAGATGAAGGGGGCACCAATACCGGCTTGCCTGGGATGGTACGAGTTCATATTTAGGGTGGACGGTGCGGCAGAACCAAATGACAATTGCCATAAGAACAAAGCGAGTCGTTATATTCCGGGGGAGGGGTAGATACTAATACTCGCTTAGCAAGAAGAATCTCGGGCGGCGACGGGGCGGCGACGGCGACAACATAGCCACTAGACCGACAGACAGGCCCAGATGACGGGCGGCGACGAGGCAGCGACGGGGCGGCAAAGGCGGCAACATAGCCGCCAGAGCGACAGACAGGCCCAGACGACGGGCGGCGACGAGGCGGCGGTGGGGCGACGGCGGCAAAACAGCCGCCAAAGCGGAAGACAGCCGACAGAGCGGAAGAACAGAAGCAGGAACCCCTAAGTGCAAACACTGTTTGAGGACATATTTTCCTTGCGGGGAGCGGTCCATTAGAAGTCAACCGTTTGGGGAGACTCAGACTCAGTCGCGCCAAAACGCCACTCCTAGAACTTCAACGCCGCGGATGAAGGTTACCGTTGCGCCCTGGCATTCCTAAGTCGTGCCAGATAGACGCCGTGCCTTGGTCCTCAACCATACGAACCCGTGAAACTTTAGAAAACTGTTAAGGCGAATTTGCGCGGCGCCAAGGCGAGAGCAGCATTCTGAAAAGAAGCCCGCTTCCCTCATTGAGACCGCTGCAAACCTTTAAAATAAATGCGTGCTGCGCTAAACCGAGAGCCACAGTTTGAAAAGGACATGTCAGCTGCTGCATTTGCGTCTTAGACGAAATGTCAACGGGGCTGGGGCGAGAGCCTCATTTTGAAACGTGTCTGCCCTTCGTACGCAAAACGGTTGGAAACCTGGAGACGGATGTGTGCGGCGCCATGGCGAGGGCTACATTATGAGAAGAACCCGCCCTCCGTCTGTAAAGCTGCGGCAAGTTTCCAACGGAAAGCCTCGGGCGAAACGCCCGGCTCGCCCTACCGACGCGTCTGGGAGTGCGACAGGAAGCTGGAGGCCCCTCTTCATTCTCACTCCGCATCTCCCCTCCTTCTCATTGCCCTCCTCGTGCTGCACCTCTCTCCTCTCTCCTCCTCCTCTCTCCTCCCCCTCGACCAAAGCACGCTCGGAATCTATGCCTGGACCCCTCTCAGCGCTCAGCGTGGCTGCCTCTCCATGCCGGGTCGATCTTGGACAGCCCTGATCCCGAAACGGGCCCCGCAGAGGCCGAAATCGATGATAGAAACTGTCCTGCAATCGCCTCCTCTCCCGTCCTCCGACGTTGCCTGAGCATTTTCTTGGGTGGAGGGCTCAGGGTGAAATCCATATGGACTTTTGCACCTCGAAAACCAATCCGTCTTGGCATTCACCCGTTGCGATCCAAGCCTCGAGAACCAATCGAAACGGGATTTCAGAATTCACCCTTTGACCTCCACCCAGAGACAATGCTCGGGTTTCTTTTTTAGTGTGACGTCGCCCCCTGGAATCCCGACCGCTTCCCGTAGGTAGGTTTTCACGCTGGGTCGTGCTTTTGCGGCCCTCGGACTGGGAAGCGGCCTCAGAAAACCAACCTGCGCCACGACTTTTGCCGCAACGCCTGGAGTCTGAGGGTCCTCCTCCCCCTTCGAAGGGGAAGAGTAGCAGCAGCAGCAGCAGCAGCAGCAGCAGCAGCAGCACCAGCAGCAGCTGGGCGGACCAGCCAGCATCAAGCGCCTGCTGTCGACTGCACATGGTGGGCCCTGCGCAGAAGCACGTCTCGACCCAGCCGCACGATTCGTCGCCATCTGGCCTCTCCGATCAGGGGGAGGGAGGGACCATCGAAATCCTCCTCCTCCTCCTCCTCCTGCTCCTCCTTCTCCTCCTCCTCCTCCTCCTCCTCTCCCCTCCTCCTCCTGCTCCTCCTCCTCCTCTCCTCCTCCTGCTCCTCCTCCTCCTCCCTCCCTCTCCTCTCTCCTCCTCCTCCTCCTCCTCCTCCTCCTCCTCCTCCTCCTCCTCCTCCTCCTCCTCCTCCTCCTCCTCCCCCTCCCCCCAAAGGGGCACCCCCATAAGTGGGGTGTCGGGCTCAAGCGAAGCGCCCCCTGGTGCAGGCTGGGAGCACCGGGCCTTCGGGCCCAAGCCCCCGCACGCGGGCATGCCTCCAAGCAGGGTCTCCTCCACAAGGGGCCGCCGGGCGCGCAGGTCCCTGCACGGGCGGCCGGGAGCCCCTCCCTGGCTCTCCGTGCCAAAGGTCGCGCCCGGCGGTCCGTCAACGCCGTCGTGTCGCCGCCGTCCACGTCGCGTCGTCTTGTCTGCCGCGGCCGCCGCGGCTGCCGCGGCCGCCGTGCCGCCGTGCTGCCGCCGCGGCCGCCGTCGCCGCGCCGCCGTCGGCGTCGTCGTCATGCCGTGGCGTCGTCCTGCCCGTTGCCGTCCGTCGTCGTCGCTGCCGCGTCGTTGTTGGTTCGGCGTCGCCTCGTCGCAGTCGTCGTCGCTGTCGGCGTCGTCTCGTTGTTTGTTCCCGTTTGGCCCTGGGGTTCAGAAAATCGTCTAGCGCTGTGAGCGCTCCCGCGGCGGGCCGCAGCGGCGCGGCGCTGGCCGCCGCGAAGCCTGCTCGCGCTCCACAACCTCCTCGCATTAAGATTAAGGGGTTTCCGAACGGCCTAACTAGGGGGCAAGCAAACCTACCTCGCGTTTGACCACCCTCGCTTCCAAGAGATACCAAGCGATGCCAAACTACGGCATGTACTGGTCAGGCCGCTTGCCGAGGAGGCGTGTGGTATGACTTGGTTTTGCCTGGAAGCGAAAGCGGGGTAGGTAATTCACGCTCTGATCGTGTCCCTCCGCGCGTGGCCGCAACGAAGTTTCGACCCGTGGGCGGGGGCGCCAGTCGGGCGGGCCAGATCGAGCACGCCAGGCGCGCTTATCGGGCGAGATAATCGGGCGCGCTGAACGGGCAAGCTAACTGTGCACGCAAACCTGGGAGCACCCATCGCTCTCATCCGCACCTGAAAGAGCTTATGTGATGCGGAGTTTGGCGTTGTTCACCGTTGTGGGACCTCGTTGAGCGCCCTCGTGGCCACGGCTGGATTTCTCTCGAAATCCTTGCCAGAGTATACCCGAGACAGACCTAAGAAGCGACTTTAGAGGAGGAGGAGGAGGAGGAGGAGGAGGAGGAGGAAGAAGAAGAGGAGGAGCGCAAGCTGCTTCCCGAGGGTGGCCGCGGGGCAGCGGAAAAAAATGACCCCCGCGTCCGTGACGCTGCTGGTGGCCGCGTGCTCGCGCCATAGCGCGGCAGCGGGGCGCGCCCCTGTGACCACGGACAAAAAAGGGCCCCCCCTCGCCAGTAATAGGGGCTGGGGCCGGCACTCGAAAATCCGCCGGCCCAACGGGCATGGCCCGAGCGGCGACACGGGAGGGAGGAGGAGGGAGAGGAGGAGCAGGAGGGAGAAGGGAGGAGGGAGGGGGACGGAGAGCGACGGGGGAGGAGGACGACACCGAGCAGAGCGAACTGCTACGGCCGTGGGCGGCTCGCGCCGGTTGTGCGGCCGCGGGGGTCAAAATCTGAGCTCGACGACCCTCTGCGGGACTGGCGCAGGTCGCCAGCGGGCTATTCACAGAGCTCTCCCTGGAGCCTCTCAGTGCTTGCCCTGGCTGCCGTCCGACAGGACGCCGGTCTCCCCCTTCAGCATGCGCAGGGAGCAGTAGACGACATTCGGGACGTTGAACCCGAACTTGTCGAGGCAGGTGCCGCCAGGCGCGGAAGCGCCGAAGCAGTTGATGCCGATGTGGCCCGTGGCCCACTCCTCCCAGCCCATGGTGCAGGCGGCCTCGACGCTGAGGGTCGGGACTCCCTTCGGAAGCACGGAGTCCTTGTAGGCTGCGGGCTGTGCCCGGAAGAGCTCCCAGGACGGCATGGACACGACGCGGATCCTCTTGTTGCCCATCTCCTTCGCGGCGTCCATGCACAGGCCCACCTCGGAGCCTGTGCCCACGAGAATGAGCTCTGGGTCCGCCGGATCGACCACGGTGTAGGCGCCCTTCTCGACGTTCTCGATGGACGAATTGGGGAGGTTGGGCACCGCCTGCCGCGTCAGCGCCAGGAAGGTCGGCATGGACTCCAGCTTCGACTTCTCGAACGCGATCTTGTAGGCGCCCGACGTCTCGTTGCCGTCGGCCGGGCGGATGACAGTCAGGTCGGGAATCATGCGCAGCGACGGGATGGTCTCGATGGGCTGGTGGGTCGGGCCGTCCTCGCCCACGGCGATGGAGTCGTGGGTGGTGACGAAGATGGTGCCGGCCTGCGCGAGGGCCGCCAGGCGGATGGCGTTGCGCATGTAGTCGCTGAAGATGGTGAAGGTGGCGCAGTACGGGACCAGGCCGGTCTTGTGCAGGGAGATCGCGTTGGCGACGGCGCCCATGCCGAACTCGCGGATGCCGAAGCGCATGTTGCGGCCCTCGTAGGAGTCCTTCAGGAAGTCGCCCGTGCACTTCATCAGGGTCATGTTGGACGGGGCCAGATCGGCCGAGCCGCCGATGAGATCTGGGAGCGTGCTGGCAAGGGCGTTGAGGCAGTCCTGCGACCACAGGCGGGTGGCCTTGGCGCTGTCGCCCTCCGCGACCTTGGGCAGGCAGTCCGCCCAGCCCTCTGGCAGCTTCCTGTCCAGGCACACGCGCTGGAACTGCTTGGCCAGCTCGGGCTCCTTCTCCTGGTATTCGGACCACAGCTTGTTCCATGCCTCCTGCTTCTTGGCGCCCTCGGCCCCGTGGGCCTTGAAAACGTCGTAGACGCTGTCCGGGATCTCGAACTCGCCGTACTTCCAGCCGAGCTGCTGCCGCGTGGCGGTGGCCTCGTCCGAGCCGAGCGGGGCGCCGTGCGCGTCGTGACTGTCCGCCTTGTTCGGCGAGCCGTAGCCGATGATGGTCTTGACCTTGATCAGAGTTGGCTTGTCTGTGCAGGCCTTGGCCTCTGCAACGGCCTTGCGGATGGCGTCCACATCCGTGTTGCCGTCCTCAACCGTCAGCACCTGCCAGCCGTAGGCCTCATAACGCTTGCCCACGTCCTCTGTGAAGGAGAGTTCGGTGTGGCCGTCGATGGTAATGCCGTTGTCGTCGTAGAAGACGATCAGCTTGCCGAGGCCAAGATGGCCCGCGTAGGCGCAGGACTCGTGCGAGATGCCCTCCTGGCAGCAGCCATCGCCCATGATGCAGTATGTGTAGTGGTCGATGAGATCGAGCCCTGGCTTGTTGTAGACCGCCGCCAGGTGGCGCTCCGCTGCCGCGAGGCCCACCGCGTTGGAGACGCCCATGCCGAGGGGGCCCGTGGTCACCTCGATACCAGCCGTTTCGAAATTCTCAGGGTGCCCGGGCGTCTTGGAGCCCCATTGGCGGAACTGCTTCAGGTCGTCCATGGTGACGCTGTCGTAGCCTGTGAGGTGCAGCACCGAGTACTGGAGCATGCAGCCGTGGCCAGAAGAGAGGACGAACCGGTCCCTGTTCACCCACGCTGGGTCCTTGGGGTTGAAGTTCATCTCCTCTGCGAAGAGCACGTAGCCGATGGGCGCCTGCCCCATGGGCGCGCCCGGGTGCCCGCTGTTTGACTTGTTCACCCCGTCCACGGCCAGGAAGCGGATCGCGTTGATGCAGTCGGTCTCCACCTCCGTGCTCACGGCCGTGGCCTTGGCCGCCGTGGCGCCCCTCGCGCGCCGGCGCGAGCCGCCGGCCGCAGCGGCGCCCGCCAAGAGCGCGCCGCACGCCACCGTCGCCGCCGACGGGCCGGAGGCGGCAGGGCGGGCCTGCGCGCCCGCGGGCGGCGCCCCGGCGACCGCGGCAGGCGCCCGCGCGCCGGCGGGCTGCGCCGCGGGGCCCACGAAGCAGGCGAGGCCGCCGAGCGCGGCGGCGGCGCCCGCGGCGGGCAGCAGCGCGGGCTTGCGGCCGCCCGAGAGCTTCGACATGGCTGGCATGGCGCGCGGTGGCCGGTGCGGCGAGGAGGGTGCGGCCGAGAGTCCAGGAGGGAGGCGGTTGAAAAAACAGCTTGGGCCAAAATGGCTACGGAGAGGAGGAGGAGGAGGAGGAGGAGGAGGAGGAGGAGGAGGAGGAGGAGGAGGAGGAAGAAGTGGAGGATGAGGAGCGAAGTGGAGTTGAGTGGACCCGGTTGTGCAAGGAAGTTAGTGATGACGAAGCCTCGCAGCAGGGCAAGAACGAGAAGCTGGATGAGGAGAAAGAGGAGCAGGTGGAAGAGGACGAGGAAAAGTAGCAGCAGCAGGACGAGACATAGGGGGAGGAGAAGGAGGAGGAAGAGACACCCACGCAGCCGCACGATTGGGAACACGAGGGGGCAACGATTCCCTGCCTCGCCACATCCGTCCTGATGTGCTTCGCATCCCGCATCTCGATGTCTCCAGTCACCCACTCCTGCATGACCACCTCAGCGACGAGCAAAAGATGCCCTCACAGACGACGAGCAGGGATCCGAGGCTCGTGTCAGTGTGTTGGCCCTGGTGGGTAGCTCGGGGGGGACCCTCGTCGCTACGACTCCGCCTGGGGAGTTCTGGGCAGAATGCGTCCCTGGGCAGGCCGGAGGTTCGATGTTTGGGAGTGTGCCGGGGGGGGCATGGGCCGCATGAGCAAACCTGATCGTGGCAGGACTCGGCAGAGGCTTCACATCACGCTTTGGTCTGCGGGGCGAGAGCGAACCTCTTCAGATAAAAGCTAGGCGGGCCACGCACAGCTCTAATTGGGGACTTCACATCACAGAGAGGGGAGGAGTCCGTGCCGCTCTTCGACGGTAACCCGTGGACGGGCGCGATAGAGCACCAGCGCGGCACCGGCCTTCGGGGGGCCCCGAGGAGGGCACGGGCACACCACGTGTGACCCCTGCAGGCCGGACATCTGCAACGCCGCCCCGGGCGCAGAACTCGAAGGCTGTCTGCAGCCAAGCGACCCCCAGCAGGGGTGTCCGACACCCCAGCGCCGACTGGACCCGCAGGGGTGAGGCTCGCAGCTGGTCGCCGAGGGTCGGAAGCGGCCAAGAGGGGGGTGTCCAAGAGGGGGGGGGTGCAAATCATGACCGGCGGCATGTGCGCGGCCCAGCGGGGGCGCCAGGGACGCAATGGAATAAGAAGAGGCGCCATGAAATCTGGGGAAACATCATGGCCCCCGCCATGATATCCCCCCCCCTAGTCATCACCCCCCTCTTTGCCGCCCCCGACACCCCAGCGCCGACTGGACCCAGCAGGGGTGAGGCTCGCAGCTTGTCGCCGAAGCTCGCCATCGCTCGGACGTCCATTCCGTGTGTTTTTTTTCGGTTTCGTGCGTGGCTTTTTCGCCAAATGATCAAGGATGCTCCTCGGTGCTCCTCGCCGAAGGAAAAATGCACACGTCCGAGCGATGCCGAGGAGGGGAGGCGCCAGGACAGGAGGAGGAGGAAGCTGGAGCACCCCTGCGCAGAGGAGGCCCCCGGCGCCGCGCGCCGCGTGGGATGGAGCGAGCGGGGGGCTTCCCGCGCGCGACCTGACTCGGGCAGCCTGCGCGCAAAGGTCCGCGCGGGGTCGGCCGCCACGCACGCTTTTGAAGGGGCCCTGGGACACACAAATAAATACACACAAATAACAGGATCCCCCATATGTTCCCATTTTTTTTTTGTTTTTTTTGTGTCTTCCCCCCCAGTTCCCATATTTTCCCATATTTTCCTAGGGAATCGACGATTAATTGTGTCTGTGTGTTTTTGTTCCCCTCCTGGCTCACCTTGAGATCCCGCGGGGGCGCGGCGCTGTGAGCGGTCGGGGCGCCGCCAAGGCCCAGCTCGCCCCCGATGTAGTCCAGCAGCCAGCCCGGCGTCCCGGAGTCGCCTGGGAGCCGCGGGCGCGGGGCCGCCCGGAGGGCCAAGCGGTCCAGGGACCCGCCGGGGTCAGGCCCTCCCCAGGGGTTAAGTCGGGCCTGTCCTCCTACAGGGGGATTTTCGACGAAAAATTAGAATACCTTAAAAATACACCAAAAAGGCAAACAAAAACTCAAAAAATAGTCCCCAACCTATTTTCAGATTATGTTTTGACTATGTTTGGGGTATGTTTTGTTTTTCGTCGAAAATCCCCCTGTAGGGGGACGGGCCCAACATAACCCTAGGGGGTGCGGAAGAATCGAGGCCGCCGAGAGACGCTCTCGCTGGCGTGGGGAGGACCTGCTCAGCTGCTCCTGGGCCCCGCATGGGCCACGGGGCGGCGAAGTGCCCGTGGGCCTAGGATGGAGGAGTCGTCCAGCACGAAATACTGGTCGACGAAGATGTCGCTGTGGTTCTCGTTGCAGTTATCTTTCCGCATGCAGGAGCAGCCGCCGGACGCGCCGGACCACTCCTGCGCACTGCACCACAGCAGAGGGCATCGCGTCTCTTGGGCAAAAGACTCGAGCTTCCCAGCGTTGCACACTGCCATGGAAGTGTCCAGGGGCAAGAACTCCGACGGCATGGCGCTTTTCAGGGTGGCAAAGCGGCTGACGATGTCCTAAGCAGGGGGAAAAGGAAAGGGCGGCGGAGAGGGAGGAGGGGGAGGAGGGGGAGGAAGATGAGGGGCAGGAGGAGGCGAAGCGGCTGAGGATGATGTCCTCCACGGTGTGCCTGTTGTGGTCCTCTGGGAAGATGCTGGGCGACCCGAGGTTCACTTTCACTTGGGCGGCCGCGAGCACCTGAGTTGACCAGGCGCAAGGATGACGCGCAGATTGCGGAGGAGAGGAAGAAGAGGAGAAGGAGGAGGAGGAGGAGGAGCAGCATAGGGGAACGCAGCATGAAATGGCCTGCCTCTAAAAAAGGCATGCCCGAACAGAAAACAGCGAAACAACGACATGCAACGAGGGCAAGTATGCGGGCTCAACTAATATACACCCGAACGCGAAGCACGCCTAGGATAAGGGCATCCCGGTTGGAAAGGCTACAGCATGCGACAGCAATGTGTGGCCCTTTTTCCCCGGTCGGCTGCAGCAGCAGCATCGCAGACGAGGGCGAGGTCTTCCCAGCAGGGCCGAGAAGAACCCACGCAGGAAATCGAACACACATGCGAAGGCGCGGGGAGGATGAAGACGGAGGATGTCGACGGAGAGATCGAATAGAGAACTCCAGTCCACAAAGTTACGAGCCTGGACCATGAAAAGAGAGGGGGGCGAGAGGATGAGGAACGAGAGAGGAGCAGGCACAGGAGGGCAGGCAGGAGGAAGGGAGGAAGGACGCGAGGGAGGAATGTGCAAAATCCTAGATGCCAAACGTCTGCGAAGGAGGATGGCACAGGAAGAGGAGGTGGAGGAGGAAGAAGGTAAGGATAACGGCAAGAGGAGGGGATCGGCTAGGCGCACCCTCGACACATCTGACAACCTGCTCCTGCTGCACAGCCCATCCCATTGAGCTGAACTGATTTCTGTCCGCCGGCTGAGTGCCCTAGATGAGCTTGCTTCCCACAATGGCCCCATCAAGCGATCTGCAATCATAATGGGGGGCCTTGTCTTTTGGACGAGGAGGGGGCGGTGGCGGATGAGAAAGAGGAGGAGCAAGAGGATGAGAACGGAGGAACAGCCGCAGGAGCAAGAGTAGGAGGAGCACGATGACCGAGGGAAGGCGGACGAGGGAGAAGGAGGGGGACGGCAACGACGAAGGACGACTCGGATTCATACACGCGGCCCGCGGTGGGGCGAGAGCGCACATCTGAACGACGGGAACAGACAACGGATCTGACATGCGGCCAATGCTGCAGCGGGAACGCCACACACTGCAGTGCTGGGGGTCGACCCGACTGACAAATCACATAAGCATGCCATGCGAGATTTTGGAGCACTCCCCAAACAGTGCTTCCACTTGGGAGGTCATAGCTCTCTTCTGAGAACCGGGCCTTGAATGTCGGTCTGGCGGCTGCGTGCTCGCCGCCGCTGCCTCGTCGCTGCCTCGTCGCCGTCCGTCGTCTGGGCCCGATTGTCAGTCTGGCGACTCCCTGCTTGCCCCCGTCGCCGCCTCGTCGCCGCCCGTCGTCTAGGCTTGGGTGTCGGTTTGGCGGCTCCGTGCTCACGGTCTTCGCCCCGTCTTCGCCCTGTCGCTGCCTCGTCGCCGCCCGTCGCATGGGCCCTGGTGTCGGTCCGGCGTCTCCGGGCTCGCAGTCTACGCCTCGTCGCCGCCCCGGCGCTGCCTGTATCGCACGACATACATAGCACCACACAGATTCCACCGCATTGATTGCACCACGTAGGATGCACAGCATATCGTTGTTCAAAAAGAGGTCAGGATCTACCACCACCACCACGGGTGTATCGACACCCACTGGGGTTGTACGAGTAACATATGAGTCTGCCGCACCGTTCAGCTTAAATGTGAGCTCGTACCATCCCAGCCAGACCCCTTATCGACACCCTCCCTCACCCGCGTCAAAGAACTAGGCGCGGGCACTCGCTATCGAAACCCACCCATCCGCTTTCACGTACGCCTTGCAAGAAAAAGGAACAAAGTCCACACGTACCGTTGCGCGCACATGCCGAAATCTTTTAAGAACCCTAGGTTCCGCCACGAGATGGATATCGAGATTCCCGAAGAACAAATGAACATGGCTCTGCAACAGGATTGTTCAACAAAGGCTGTGCGTGCTATTGCGAATCCGAATGAAAGCCATTGGTTCTTCAACATTTTCGTCATCTGAGACCATGCGGGCCTCCCGCGCGCGCGTGCCGAAGCCATTCGGATGCCCTTGCGCGCTTGCTGGTGGGGCACGACCTCTTTCAACAAATTCCATGCGGGCCACTCGCGCGCGCCGATCGCGCGCGCATGCCGAAACCATTACGAAACCTGAATCACCGACGCGTGGTCATCATAATCGTCATCGGCGCGACCAGTATCGGCGCCGTCATTCGCCTTGCCGTCGTCAGACTCATCATCGCCACCAGCCTCGCTACTATCATCATCGTGTCCGCAGGCGTCGACGTCACCAGGATACCGCGTCCGCCCGACGTCACCGACACGTACTGAGCTTGCGCGCGAAAGCGCGGCCGAAGCGGGGCGGCAGCCAGCGCCAAGCAGACATCGCAATCGCCGCCGCATTGGTCTTGCAAACTGAGTTGCGGGCGTGTGGGTGGGATGACTGCTTTAGCAATGAAATTGACAATTCCAAGTTCTCCGAAACGAAGGTCGCCACATAATGGTGGCAAACGATGGAAAAAAAAGCCTTCCCCCCGGGGGTGTCCAAAACTGAATGAGTGGGGCAGACTCGTAGAACTCAGCTGCAATAGCTTGATGCTTTCTACTCGTCTGCCCCCCCCCCTCCCGGCCATTCGCCCCCCGCGGCGGCAGCGGGGGGGGGGGAGGATGGCGGAGAGAGGAAGGATACTCCAGATTTCGTAATAAAGGGAGGGGGGTCTCATTTCGGGGGGGGGTCTCTTCCAGGCTACCTTGGAGGGCCTGGGCGGTCTGGGGACGATGTTTTGGATGGGTTCTCCCACGGGGGGGTGTCTGAAATGGCTTGTCTTGGAGGGTCCAGACCCCCTCACTTTTACTACGAAATCCGGAGTAGTCGGGCACGGGTCCGGGAGGCACGCTGGCCGCGGGCCGCCCCGCTGCCTCGAAGGGTCCCGCCCCTGCGCCTTCGACTTTTGTCGGCCCGCGGGGGGCCCGTCCCGGGCAGGCAGAGATATGGTCCGCCCTCCGCCGGCCGGGCGGCCCTGGCCTGCCCGTCTCGGAAGGGGCTCTCCCCCCCCGCCCTGGATGGCCGGCCCTTTTTATAGGGCGGCGAGATCTATACATATCCATTGCTCCCTGGCCAGGCCCATTATGAATCCAGCAGTTGTGTATACGCCGTCCTGCCCAGCTCAGGAGGGCGTGCCTTATACACCACTGGCGGGTTCAGGATGGGCGTGGTCAGGGAGCAGTGGATATGTATAGATAGTGTCGCCCTATTTTACACCCCGCCCCCCCAGCCCCCTCTGGCCTCCGGACAGCCCGGGATTTTGTCTGCCCTCCGGTCTGCCTGCCCCGCCCCCCCCCACTGCTGCGGGGGCACGAGGAAGGCCAGCAAAACGACGTAATTGGATCGTCTGCCCCAGATGTGTGTGTGTGTGTGTGTTCCATCGCTTGCGCTAGACATCACCACGTCGCTGGCACCGCAAAGACAGCACGACTTCTATGTTACAACATACTCGCCAACACATATATTGCACAACGCTGTGGCTGCAACACCACATACATTGAGCCGCCTATCCACATCGATTGCATATTTTGTGCTGCACAACACCGGTTGCATACCACTTCTCCTCCTTATAGGCAACCACCAGGATACCACCACCCATCCCAAGCTTATTGGCACTCTTTGGAATAAGAACAGTTCCATGTCATGATGCCGCATTTTCGTATCAGGTGTGAATACGTACCATGCCAGCCAGCAACCCCATCGCCCCCACTCGCCCTTTTCATGTAAGACTATGCGCGCACGCTTGCAGATCAACAACAATAGATGTCCAAGCATCCCTTGCACAAAACCAATCAAAGTCGACACGCGCGCGTCGCCGCACGCGCATGTCAAAATGTTTAAAACACCGCGCGTTGCATCAAAGAATCGAAAGCCAGCTTATTATTCAAAACACGCGTAACAAATCGCAGCGGCTTGCATCAAATTGCTGTTCAAAAAATACTGGGCGCGCGTTCTGGCTAACTCTAACGAGAAACATGGGTTTCAACATTCTACTCACATTCCATCAAGCCGGCCTCTTGCGCGCGCATGTCCGCATCAATCGGAGACCCTTGCGCGCGTTGTGGGGTGGGGCACGAGCCATTGCCAAATAATTGGATGCGGGCCACTCGCGCGCGCCGATCGCGAACGCATGCTGGCATCGTGTTGAAGCCTTCATCACCGACACGCGGATCATCATCATCATCATCATCATCATCATCATCATCATCATCATCATCATCATCATCATCATCATCATCATCAGCGTCATCAACATCATCATCATCATCATCATCATCGTCATCGGCGTGGCCAGCATCGGCGCCGTCATTGACCCGGCCGTCGTCAGACTCACCATCGTCACCATCACCGCTACTATCATCATCGTGTCCGCCTGTGCCGACGTCGCCAGGATACCGCGTCTGCCCGGGCTACGGACACGCACTTACACGCCCGCGCGTCAGCACGGCCTGCGGGACGCGCTGGGAATCCCCCAGCGGTCAGTGCCACCGTGGCCGCGTCAGTCGCCCAAGACAGACTAGCTGGCCGTTCTGCGCGCAAGCTTGCGCGCCAAAGCGAGGCCGCAGCGGGGAGCCAACCAGCGCCAAGCAGTCATCGCAATCGCCGCCGCATTGGTCTTGCAAACTGAGTTGCGGGTGGGTGTGTAGGATGACTGCACAAGCAGTGGGCTTGACAAGTCCAAGTTCTCCAACACGAAGTTCACCACATGGAAAACACTACTTCGATTGCGCCGCAAAGGCAGCACCACATACATGTCACACCAGACCTTGCACCACACAAGTAAATATAGAGAGGGACAGGGAGGGAGAGAGAGAGAGAGATTGCACAACATCTGTTGGACCACCAACGGTTGAACACCACATTCAGTGCACCACATAACCACTTAGGTTGCACGGCATGCGTTGCACAACCCCTGGTTGCATACCAGTTTATCACCCCTACAAGCAACCGACAGATACAACCATCCATCCCGGGCTTCTCGGCACTCCCTGGGATCATACGATATCCACGTGACTATGCCCACTGTTTCATGTAAGGTTTGAACTCGTACCATCCCAGCTAGCACCCTCATCGCCCCGACCACCCCTGCAATATCAGACTTTGCGCACACGTTTGCTCATCAAACACCGTAGATGTCCACTCACCCCATGTAGCTTTCGAAGTCGGCACGCGCGCGTCGCCGCATGCGCATGCCGAAATGTCTCAAACACCGTCGGGATCAAAAAAAAATGGTCACAATCCAGCTTCTTCAAAGCATACGTAACACATCGCAATGGTTTGCATCATGCTACTGTTCCAAAAGTACGCACGCGGTTTCGCTAACCCTAACGCGAACCTTGGGCTTCAACGTCATCATCGCGTGCAACCAACTGGGCCTCTCGCGTGCGCGTGTCGGCATCGATCGAGCACCCTTGCGCGCTCGCTGGGGTGGGGCATGATCCCTGCCAAACCATGTGGGCCACTCGCGCCCGTCGGCACCGACACGCGGACACCATCATGGTCATGGGCATGACCACCATCGACACCGTCGTTGGCCTTGCCGTCGTCAGTGTCATCATCGTCACCAGCATCGCTACTATCATTATCGTGTCCGCCGTTGCCGACGTCGCCATGACTGCACGCCCGCCCGGGTCACCGACACCCACTGACACGCCCGCGCGTCAGCACGGCCTGCGAGACGCGCTGGGAAGTCCCCAGCGGTCAGCGCCACGGCGGCCGCGTCGGTCGCGCCAGCGCGCGCGCCTGCGCGCGCTAGCGCGGCCGCGGCGAGCGCCAGCCAGCGCCAAGCAGTCTTCGCAATCGCGACCGCATGGGGTTTGCAAGCTCAGCTGCGCGCGGGTGGGCGGGATGACTGCGCGATCCGTATTGACGATGCACTGTTGAACATTAGTTAGTTGCACCACGCAGATTGCACCGGCTCCACCCAGACTGCACAACATTTTTGATCTGCAGGGCGAGAGCGAACCTCTTCCGCTGAAAGCTGAGCGGGACGCGCACAGCTTTAACTAGCAGAGAAAAGGACGGATGAAGGCGGGGTCTCACGCGGCCAGGCAAGGGCGAAGCCAGGGGATCAGGCGGTGCCGAAGCGGACGTGCAGGAAAAGGTACACCTTGGACAGGAGCCCGGTGGTGAAAAGCCCAGACTGCACAACACACGCTGCTAAAAACACAAACTGCCTGCGGCCAACGCTGGCCAACACTGCATGTCAGCAGTGCCATGTGCGGGAGAGGGCGCCCCCACACGCACAGCACAATAAAACGGGGGAGAGGGGAGTAGTATTCGCGATACGGTCGAAGGTGGAGGAAGGGAGTCAAAGTGGGAGGAGGAGGAGGAGGAGGAGGAGGCGAAGGAGGAGGAGAGACAGAAAGAGAAAGAGAGAGAGAGGATGAGGAAGAGGGAAGGAACACATCCAGGGTCTCCGACGTCAAACTCTGCCCAGGGACCGGCGATCCATCCTGGCCCGCTTTTGCTACGGCCCCGGGGCCAGGTTATGCTCCCCCGAGGCAGGAGCCGAGTCGTGAGGATCGCGCGGGAGCGCTAATGAGGGCGGGGGCCCCCCGAGTCCCTTGCCCGGGGGCGCGTTCCTACAATTCCGAAAGTAATTTGGCCGTCCAGACGAAGAGCCTCCCAGGATCCCGAAAACCTCGGCGGTCGATCCAGAGGCCGCGGCCCGCGCACCTCGTCCGAAGACGTCCGTGCTCTTCTCACAGTGGAAGGAAAGATCGTGCTGGACCAGAGGGGGGATAGCGAGGGAGGGGCTGGCGAATGAGCTCACGCGGCTGGTTGTCCTGGCGCCTCCGGGGAGCCGGGAGGCCAGGGCACTGGGAGGCGCGAGTGTGCTGGAAATGCGTCCAACGGCGGAGCCGAAATCGGCTGCACGCAGCAGATCTCTGACCACACACCCCGCTCCCTCTCCGATGATCCTCAGAACGCGTGTTGGCGCCCTTGTCCACCGAGGCCCCCTCAAGACGGCGCACGAGGCGCCACGACGGCCGACACAGGCTGCGCGCCATGGGCGGAACCGAGCGGGGTACACACACGCCCTTGGCTAGCACACGTCCTGAGGATCATCGACCCGTCCCCTCCTTTCGGGTCGGGCGAAAGGGGGGACAGCAAAAGGGGGGTTTGAGAATCAGCTCACGTAGCTGATTTTCCCGGCGCCACCCGGCGCCAGAGGCGGCTATGTATCGAGGAATGGGCCACTCGGTGAGGCCGAAACCAGCTGCATGCAGCAAATTTCGTAACCCCCCCTTTCCCAATCCCCCCCTTTCGTCCGGCCCAATCCTTCCCTCCGCCCCCAGAGGAGAGATGCTCTTACAGCCCGTGGGCGCCCCGCCGATCAGCGCCGCCGCGGCGCTCAGCGCCAGCCACGCGCGCCGCCCGGCCCAGAGCCTCGCGGGGTCGCTCGCCGCGGCCGCCGCTCCGGCCACTCTCTGCCGCCTGCTCCTCCGCCGCCTGCCGCCTCCCATACAAAACGCTCAAATTTGAAAGTGTGCTTCGTGAGCCCCCCCTCCCCCCATCAAAAAAAATGGGCACGGCATAGAGGGTGATGGCGCAGATCTTCGGGGCAACAGATGCCATGTACTGGTTGCTCGCGCAAGTAATCCCACACATACGCACACGCGGGACGTGCCGATGAGATCGAATCGAGCGGGTCAGATGCACAAGCTGCTCCTTCCTGTGTGCCTAAGACTATACATACCTACCTACCTGCATACACATATACATGCATGCAAACATATAAACACATACATACATACAGGCAACAAGGGGGTGCGATCGAAATGATTCGGAGATCCCCGACCGGGAAATTGGTCTCGGTTTCGTGATCGTGCCGCGCGTGCAGGCGAGGCGAAGCTGCGTGCGCGGGCGAAAGGAATGACCCTGCCGCTGCTAGGACGACGCTTGGCGGGGTGGGCTGGCTGGCGGATGAGGACCACGGTTGTCCCGATGGTTGTCCTGTGGTTGTCCCGATGGCTGTCCCGACGGTTGCCTCGACGACTGTCACGATGATTGTTCCGTGGTTGTCCCGACTGTTGTCCCGATGGTCGTCTCGATGGTTGTCCCAATGGTTGTCCCGATGGTTATCCGGATGGTTGTCCCGACGTTTGCTCCGATGATTGTCCAGATGGTTTCCCCATGGTTGTCCCGATGGTTGCCCTCGTGGTTGTCCTGTTGTCCCGATGGTCGTGGGATCGATAGATCGACACTAAAGTCGATGTATCGATAGATCAATAATGAAAATGATACTGGGGTCGCGATCTATATATATATATATATATATATATATACATACACATATATATACATATATATATATATGTATATACATTCATACGTATTCCGAATCTTATTCCGATTCATATATATATATATATATATATATGAATCGGAATAAGAGGGGTTTACCCCTCCCCCTACCCCCTCCCCCTGGGCCTGGCGAGGGGGTCCGGCGGGTCGCCAGGGGGGTCAATTTCGACTCCTGGGAGGGCTAAACAACGACACCCCTCACGAGGATTCTGGCCCCGACGGGGGGAGGCAGAAAAAACCCTCTCCTCTTCTTTGAAACCAAAATCATTGATTTTACTACAGTGTCGGCCCCATTTTGGCCTTCTGAGGGGGCCGCGCTCATTAAAGCTCATAGCAAAATCATTGATTTTCAAAAGGTTTTGGGCTCATTTTGTCCTTCTCAGGGGGCAGCGCTCATTTGCGCTTCTGAGGAGGTCGCAAGAGGCCCCAAAATGGCCCCAAGAGGCCCCCAGGAGGCCCCCAAGAGGCCTCCAAGAGGCCCCCAAGAGGCCCCCAAGAGGCCCCAAGAGGCCCCCAAGAGGCCCCCAAGAGGCCCCCAAGATGCCCCAAGAGGCCCCAAGGGGCCCCCAAGAGGCCCCCAAGAGGCCCCCAAGAGGCCCCAAGAGGCCCCAAGAGGCTCCAAGAGGCCCCCAAGAGGCCCCACGAGGAGCCCGAACGACTCACACCCAAGGAGGGGCCCGAACGACTCACACCAGGACGCACACCACGAGGAGCCCGAACGACTCACACCACGACGCGGGCCCCGAACGACTCACACCACGAGGAGCCCGAACGAGTCACACCAGGAGGAGGGGCCCGAACGACTCACACCAGGATGAGGGGCCCGAACAACTCACACCACGAGAAGCCCGAACGACTCACACCAGGACGAAGAGCCCGAACGACTCACACCACGAAGAGCCCGAACGACTCACACCAGGAAGAAGGGCCCGAACGACTCACACCAGGACGAGAAACCCCAAACGACTCAAATCACGAGGAGCGCTTTCTCTCCCTCCTCCTCCGCCTCGTCCTTCTCCCGCTCCCCCCACAAGGAGGATGTACAAGGAGGCGGGAGGAAGGAGGAACAGGGGAGATATGCGGGGCCAAGCGGACACACGCCTGAAAACCACGACTGTCGGCATGCTTCGCAAGAGTTGCTGCTGTGAGATGGGCTGGTGGGGATACGCGAAGCGTAAAGAATTCGAAATGCGCGCGCGGCAGACGCGCGAGAGTGGCCTGCATGGAATTACTTGAGACGGATCGTGCCACCCCAGCACGCGCGCAAGGGCGTCCGAACGATTTCGATATGCGCGCGCGAAGCCCGTTTGGTGACACTTTCGGGTAATTTTGGAAAAACTATGGTTTGCCTAAGAATTCGCAAGAGCGAGCACCAGTTTGTTTTGGAAGTCCGTGTTGCGAAACCGTATGTTGTTTTGCATGTTTTTGGAACACTCGATGTTGAATCCCTTGCAAAAGCAATGGTTTTTAAAGGATTTCGGCATGCGCGCGCGCGACGACGCGCGTGAGCGTGCACTTCGTCAACTGTTTGTGCCGGAGGATTCTCGCGACGGCACGCGCGCAGAGGCTTACGAAAGAATTCGACATGCGCGCGCGAAGCCTGTTTGGTAGTATTTTCTAAAACGTTGAAAAACCTATGGTTTTCTTAAGATGTCGCAAGAGCGCGCGTAAGCTTTTGTAGAAAAGCCGTGTTGCGATACCCTGTGAGTTTGTATGTGTCTTGGAAACTTGGTTTTGATATCCTTCCGAAACCGAAGGTTTTCAAAGGATTTCGGCATGCGTGCGCGACGACGCGCGCGTGTACTTCGTTTTTTTGTTTGCAAGGGATTTGAAAACTTATGATTAGTGATAAAAAGGGTGCGCGCGCATAGTATATGTTGCAGAGGATGGCGGCGGGGTGGGGCGATAGCGGTCCCACTGGGATAGTGCAAAGTCAGACTTAGGATGGACGATGGGGCAGAACCATATGTATATTGCAATACGACAGGGTGGATGGTTATGTCCGGGGGGGAGGGGGGTAGAACCTATCCCTTTTTGAGGAAGGAGAATGTATGTGAATATATGGGCTGCAAGCTATGTAATCGAAACTGTGTGGTGCGATCGACGTGGTGCAATCTACGTCGTAGTGCAATCCGTGTCATGCAATGTGGTAGCCGGCGTAAGCTATGTGATGCAATCTGTGTCAAGCAACGCAAATCAACGCAAAGCCATGCGAAGCAATGTAACGCAACACCAAACAATGCAACACTACAACGCAGTACAAAGCAACACAAAGCAATGCAAAGCAATGCAAAGCAATGCACGCAACGCTAGGCAGCGCAAAACACAGAAAGCAAAATGTAACGCAATGCGAAAAGATGCGAACAGGGGGGGTGCAAGGGGGCGCGGCGACGAGGCGGCGACGGGGGCAACGACGGCGACAACAAGCCGGCCGAATCGACACACATGCCAAAGCGCCGGGCGGCAAAGAGACGGCAAAGGGGCAACGACGGCGACAACAAGCCGGCCGAACCGACACCCACGCCCAGGCGCCTGCAGGCGATGGGCGGCGACTAGGCGGCGACGAAGCGGCGACGGGGGCGGCGACGGCGACACCAAGCCGGCCGAACCGACACCCAGGCAGAGCTCCTCTCAGACCCAATGAGAACCCCTAAGTGCTAGCACTGCTTGGGAAGAGTCGATCCCGCTGCTGTGGGTCGGAATCGCTTGTGCGCTGGCTCTGGTCGGACCTGCTGCCATCCACGCCGACCACAACTACCCTTGAGTCGGGCCTGTCCCCCTACATGGGGATTTTCGACGGAAAGTAAAAAATACACCAAAAATCACCAAACAATAACCCAAACATCGTCTGGGGACGACTTTTGAGCATTTTTTTTACCATTTTGGAGCATTTTGGGGGCATTTTTAGTTTTTCGTCGAAAATCCCCCTGTAGGGGGACACGCCCGACATAAAACTACCCAGCCTGTCCTAGGGCGCGGTCTGGCCAGAACTCCTCTGGGAAGTCAGCCGTGGCGACGAGGGGCGCCGCAGAGAGCTCAGACAGGCCTCCAAGACATGCGCAGGCTCCTCGACCCTTGAACCTGGGCCCTCGATGACTACCTACCAGACCACCCCAACCCAACCCGAAGACCCGAATTTCGGATTGGGGGGGGGTAAAGGGTTTCACCTGTGTTTTTTCAATGCTCCTTGACTCTCCCCCACTGGAAATGGAGGGCAAATTGAGGCCTTCGGGTTGGGTTGGGGTGGTTTGGTAGGTGGGCCCTCGCACCCTCTCGCTGCCGCGGGCGCCCCATCGGAGCCAGCGCAGGCCCTGGCCGAGGATCTTCCCGCTGAGGCCCTGCCGAGCATCCGCCTCCTCGGGCCTCGCCGCCTGCGACGCGGCGCCGGCCTGTCCGGCACGGCGGCGGCGGCAGCCTGCCGGTCAAGAGCATGCCCAAGAGAAGGTTTAGGCCGGGCTTGTCCCCCTACAGGGGGATTGTCGACGAAAAATAAGAAATACCCCAAAAGTGCCCCGAAGAGATCAACAAATACTCAAAAAATAGTCCCCAGACTATTTTTGGATTATTTTTGTTGCTATGTTTGGGGTATTTTTCATTTTTCGTCGAAGATCCCCCTGTAGGGGGACAGGCCCGACTTAAGAGAAGGTGGGAGGGAGAACGCATCTCAACATCGTTCAGACGGTCCTAGGGAGCGCCGGGACGGCCCGTGAAGGCCCCAAGATGGACTCCAGACGACCCAAGAGGCCCCCAATACGCCCCAGTGCGCAGCGCGCCTAAAGGAGGCCCCAGGAGGTTGTCCAAAAAAGACCCACAATATGCCCCGCTCATTGATCTCCCATCGGTTTTCGCAGGGAGTGGGGGCGTTTTCCGTTGTTCGGGCTTCCGACGGCCCAAGAGGCCCCCAAAATCCTGGTGCGGGAAGCAAAACGGATGCTTCTAGACAATCCAAGCCTCAACTGGTTCAAGACACCTTCTTGATCTCAACATGAGCGAAAGGGGACCTGGAGACAACGTGTGATGGACCCTGGCGCTCTCCACAAGACCAACGTGTCCTCCTGAGCTGCTCATGAACGGTCCGGCGGCCGTGGGAATGGCTCCGAGATGCTGAACGCGGCAACACAATACCGTGCACCAGAGATAATTCTAGCCATTTGTCCGCACCAGCGGTTGGCGAGAACGAAGGATGGCAAATGTGGCGATCTGTGCTCTCTTCTCTCTACCATCATATCTGGTTAGGATCTCATCTTCAGCAGTGGTTGGTGGTTCTCTCTCTCTCTCTCTCTCTCTATATATATATATAGATACATCTTTCAAGTATACATATATATATACACACAGCTCGCTTTCTCTCTCTCTCTCTCTCTCTCAACGGTCCCGAGAGGGAGAAAGAAAGAAAGAAAGAAAGAAAGAGGGAGGGAGAGAAAGAGACGACACATGCGTATGTTCGACCCACTATTCCTTACTCAATCGCCGCATGTCTATATGTGGTATTTACCCTCCAGCCTCTGCGCTCCACGACAATCTCGTTTCCCGCCTCTTCGCGATGTGCCCTCTACTGTATGTTCTCGGCTCTAGGCGTTCCTCCACGCCCTGGTTGGTGCTGTCTGCCTTCTGCTCTTCGGAAAAAAAAACTCCACTCGACTCTCTTTCAGCTCACGTCGTTCCCTCTGCCCTCTCATGTGTTTTGGTGTTATCCTCCCTATCTCTCTCTCTCTCTCTCTCTCCTTCTCTCTGGCTACATCAAGTCAGCGTATGCCATGCCAATATCCCTATCTCCCTCTCTCTCTCTCTCTCTCTTTGTGTCTCGCTCTCTCTCTCTCTCTCCCTCTCGCTCTGTCTCGTTTTCTCTTTCTCTCTCTCTCTCTCTCTCTCTCTCTCTCTCTCTCTATATATATATATATATATATATCACTCTCTACCTCTTTCCGTCCCACTCTCTCCATCAGATATGAGCATACATCTGCAACGTGATATAGCACGCAGCATCTACAATAGACTTGCAGCCCTCGCTCTACGCAGACATCCTTCTCTCGATGCGTACATCTATACATCTACAGTATGCATTCTCTCCGCTCTCGTTCTCTCTCTCTCTCTCTCTCGTTCTACACGCAAGTTCACGCTACACCATTACTCGAGAAGAGTGTTCCTCTACTGTGTCCCCAGATCCTGTCAGAGCGGAGCTCATTTTCTACAGCGCGCTGTGTTTAAACGCATGCGGCGTCAAGAGGTGATGTTCCATGTGCTTGTTTTCAGAATCGGAACGTTTCTGGTGCTTTCAGATGACGCGCCCACTGCGGGATCGACGCGTTGCTCACGTCGTTCAAAACGGCGTTCCTACCCCGAGTCCTTCATCGTCATTGTCGCTCCGCTCAATTTCCCACCTCCGCCTTCCACTGGTCCTCCTGCCCCTTCGCTCCTCCTACTCGTGCTGCTGCTGCTGTTCCTTCTCGTGCTCCTCCTTCCTCATCCTCATCTTCGTATTATTGCTCATCCTCTTGCTCGTTCGCCACCTCCTCCTCCTCATCCTTCTTCTTCCTCCTCCCTCTACCTCCCATGTCCAGTGTACACAGCTCCACGTTTCTGAATGCGACTGACGCGGTGGAGCCTCCTCTCGAAAGCTTCAGATCCGCCGCGACACCCGTCGGCGGGTCGAGAGCACACCGGCGCCATGGGAAGGGATGGGTAACTAGGGAGTGGGAGAGTGTAAGACATTGGGAAGCACACCTAGCTTATCTCTCTCAACTAAATTTGTTGTTCTTCTCTCTCTCTCTCTCTTTCTCTATTCTCTCGGGCCGGGCGAAAGAGAGGGATAGCAAAAGGGGGGGGGAGAATCAGCTCTTGTAGCTGATTTTCCTGGCGCCTCCCGGCGCCGGGAGGCGGCCATGTATCGAGGAATGGGCCCCTCGGTGGGGCCGAAATCAGCTGCATGCAGCAAAGTTCGTTACCCCCTCTTTCCCTATCCCCCCCTATCGTCCGGCCCTATTCTCTCTACTCTCTCTGATCTCCATTCTAAGAGCTTTGGAGCCCGGCCGCTTACTGAAACCGGCTGCAACATTGACAGACCCAGATCCAGGGACCAGAGAGCACACGATTCTCGACGAGCTTAATCTCAAAAGTGCGCTGCGCAATGTACCCAGATGGTTGATATGATGGGAATGATATGCCATTGCGTGCGAAGGACTTGTTGGCGCCCCCTCGCCAATGTCGGCCATCGTAGATTTTCCAAGTCGCTCCAGCCCAGACCTCGTTTCGCCCCGCTTCGACATTGAAGGGGGCGACGTTGACGGAGCGACAGAGGGGGCGACATTGCAGGGGCGTGTCCCCAACGTTTGAAATCAACTCTGCCGAGGGTTGCAAGAACATGGGAGAAAAAGGGAGTCTGGCCGCCAAGTGAAATCGGCCCGATACTTCTGATCGGATCCTTACTCCAGATTTCGTAATAAAGGGAGGGGGATCTCATTTCGGGGGGGGTCTCTTCCAGGCTATCTTGGAGGGCCTGGGGGGTCTGGGGACGAGGTTTTGGAGGGTTCTCCCACGAGGGGGGGTCTGAAATGGCTCGTCTTGGAGGGTCCAGACCCCCTCCCTTCTATTGCGAAATCTGGAGTACACTCTTCGCCACCATGCCGTCGGATTCAGGCACTCCTTGCGGAAGGACCCCTCTCCCCCAGAACCCCGCGGGGTGCCCCCTTCGGTGTTCTTTGTTGCGTCATGCACAGCGCTCCGTTCTCCGAGCCGCCAGCAACGACATGGTACGCCTCGAACCAGAACGGCAACCTCCCTCCTCCCTCCTCCCTCCGCCCTCCGCCCTCCGCCCTCCTCCCTCCTCCCTCCGCCCTCCTCCTCCTCCTCCTCCTCCTCCGCCGCCGCCAAGGGTAGCCGTCGCCGTCCTACATTGCGCGTCTGCGACAAGTTGCGCGAATTCGGATCCGTCGGGTCGAAGTGGGTCCCGTGTATGGACTACCACACTGCGGTGGCGTTTCCCGATTGATTCCGCGCTTGGCGACAGGATGGGCACGGGGGGACCTGAACGGACCTGGAACTGCAGCCCCAAGGCGGTCGCGCCCCATCGCGCCACTGGCGTGACCCATGACACTGCACGGGTCACTGTGCGCCTGACGGGCGCTCGTGTCTCTTGCTGGATCTGCTCGGACTCGCTCACTCGCGACGCGGGTGCTGTCATGCGTGCTTTCTTTTTCGCTGAACTTCCGTGAACGGTCAGTAGGGAGCCAAAGGGGAGCCCAGCAAGGCACTAGCATGAACCCCACGGGGCCCCAGGTAGGCCCCAGAGGATCCGAAGAGGCGCCGAGAGAGTCCCAAGAGGCTCCAAGACGGCCCCAGGAAGGCCAATCAGTTGAGCAACAATGCATCATTTGAGCATCAATTGAGCAACCATAAAATAAATGCGGGGCATCATTTGGGCAAGCCATTGAGCAACCATGTAAGTACGAAGACAGTGCATCATTTGAGCAACAATCAAATCAATGCGGAGAGCTGTTGTATTATCTTCGGCAACCGGACTGCTGCGCCTATCTGCGTTATCGCTTTTGACCCGACCCACGTGGCTAGCTTGGGAAGCAAATCGGAATATACAGAGGCTCGATTGCTTCATGTCGCCAGCGCGCGGACGCCGACGTGCATTAATCGCTGGTCTGTCCCTGCCCCCAGCCAGGCAGCCTGGGAACCCATTCACAGTTACGCACGCACAACTGCGAGGGGGGGGTGCTACATGTGACTACATGTAGATTGCACCTTTCATGTGGATAAGTGCTCGCGGTCGCTGCAGCACCACGTCGCAACAAGACGGACACCTGAATGAGCACGACTCTAGAAAAGATGCAAGTCTGCCCATGAGGTTGTTTGCAACCTGCACCAACACAAGTGTCCAGCTTACGGCGTTCTAGTTTCAGTTTCTGCTCACTACTGGACATTGTTGCTGTCCGCGCGAGGGAAGGCAAGGGGGGGAAGGGCGAGCACCAATCTTGCCGCTGCCCCCCCTCCGAGTTTTCAGGATTCAACGGGATCAGAGGATAAGCGGAAGCAGCAAATTCGCGCCCCTGGGGCCATCATCCTTCAAAGACCACGCCGTGCTCGGGACCCCCAGGTCCGGAGACCTCGTCACTCACGCCGCGCTCGCGCCCCCGCGGCCACGACCATCCGTAGATCACGCCGCGCTCGCGCCTCCGACGCCACGATCCTTCCCAAATTACGTCGCGCTCTCGCCCTCGAGACCACGACCCCTTTGCAACTCATCGCAGGTTCGCGCCCCTTCAACGCGCTCGCGCTCGTGAGGCCACGCTCTGCTGCAGATATTGCGCCCGAGTTGCGCCCCCGAAAAACCACAACCCTCGCAACTTGGGCCAGAGTCGCGCCCCCGAGGCGACGATCCCTCTCAAACTGCAGGGCAGTTTTTAATACATAGGATTTTGAAACATATATGTTTTTAATGCATGGCTTATTTATGAATAAATATATGCATGAATTCATCGTTGTTTTTAGTACTAACTCCCTGCATTTTTTGTATGATCCGCACGCGGAGCATGTATTAAAAACGGCACTGTACAGCAGATTCGCGCCACGGAGGCCACGATCCCTTCTGAATGACGTCACGGCTGTCAGCTGTCTTCGCATGCGGTGGCGACATTGCTTCAAGTCGGCGCCCAAGCGTCCAAACATAGTTCTGGCATATCCCGTGCCGATATAGAGGGGGAGCAGGGGCGGAAGGCGGAAGGCCACGCCCATACGGGAAAAATTGTTCCACGTGAGGAGGCGCCGCCACTACCGCCCGAATGAACCTCGCGCAGCTCCAGAGAAAGTGTGTCCCCTCCCCTTCTTCTGGGGCACCTGGCGGTTCGATGTCTTTGCGACATGGGCCCAGGGACTTCTCGACAGCCCTCCTAGAACATGCCCCTATCCTGAATCGTGTTCGTTTCTGGTAGGCGGTCGTGTTATTATTGGCCCCCGCATGCACATCCCATGGCGCAACCAATAGCGGGGATGTGTACTCTCGGCGGCCAAGTGCTCACCCCACGGCGAAACCAATAGCAACCCTATATATATATATATATATATATATATATATATACGCAACCTATTGCGAAACCAAGACCAGGACGTTTCCTTCTCGGCCAGCGAGTGCGAAACCAATGGCGGCACCAACACCAGGACATGCTACTCTCCGCCGCCGAGCGCACCAAACGATGGCGAAACCAATTTCAGACAGCTTAATACTCCACCGCCGAGTGCGCCGCCTGTGGAACGACCGATAACAAGCCGTGCTGCTCCGAGAGGCCCGGTGCGCTCGAGGGGTGGGCGGACCTCGTGTCTGTGTCCGGCTGGTGGGGAGAGCGGCGGCAGGAAGCCCCGCAGGCTCGAGGCTGCTCGAAGCGGACATCTCCCACCCGTGGGCGGCCTCCTCGGAAGCAGTGGGGCCGCTTGGGGCAGTACAGCTCGCTGACGAGGATCAGGGGCAGGTAGATGACCGAGATGAGCAGCCACGCGTAAAAGATGCAGCAACCCATCATGAAGCCGAACTGCCGCACCCCCCGGATGGAGGACGCCAAATTCGAAAAGAAGGACAGCGACGTGGTGCAGGTGGTCGCCAGCGTCGAGACCCCCGCGTTCCAAGAAGTCCACGTCAGGCGAATGGCCTCGTCAAAATTACGTTTAGTCGGCACTACGTGTACTCCGCATGCTTCCCCAGTGTCACTCCTCTCCCCCTGTTGCTCTTGATCAGTATCCTGCTTATCACGCTCACCCTGCAAGAACCACTCACGCTCCCCTACTCATGACCCGCCAACTTTACCCTTATACGTTTTAACCACATCAATCCTCCACCTTCCTTTCCCCAACGTCCACCTGCCCCTCCTCACCCTCTAACCACATCCTCGCATGCTCCTCGCCCGACCCCCACCGCCTCCCCCCTCCCTGCATTCCTCACGCAGCTCGTCGCCCCTCCTCCTCCTCGCAATGGCCAAGATGGAAATCGCTCCTTCCCAGTAGCACCGAATCAGACTATAGCTTGAGACTGTTGCTGGAGACCTCCTTAGAGTAAACGACCCAGTCTTCCCTTGGGACGGGAGAGTTGCTGCAGCACCGTTGATGAATCCTGGATCCACCCTGGTCCTTCTCCTGCTCCTCCCTCCCAAACAGCACCCCATCAAGAATTGCCACGGAGTCCTCGAACACAGGGACCCAGAGGCAGCAGGGAAAAGCTCAAAGGCGTTGTCACGAATCACGTCCTCTTCGGCGTCTCCGTCCCCCTCGTCGTCCTCCTCCTCCTCCTCCTCCTCCTCCTCCTCCTCCTCCTCCGCCTCCTCCTCCTCCTCCTACCCACCCGCTTCTCCATTCGATCTCCTTCTTCCCCTTCGATGGCCGTGGCGACGAGATCCACACGTGGCGACGAAAAGCCTCCGCCGAGGCCAAAAAGCTAAAGCAGCCCAAAGACCCCGAGTCCTCGAAAACCTCGGTCCTCCTCCCACTCTTGCCCACCCCGGCGCGCGCGCGCTCACGCGCGCGCGGGGGGAAGAGGAAGAGAGGGAAGAGGAGGAGCAGGAGGAGGAGGAGGAACGAGAAGGAGGGAGGAGGACGGCAAAGGAGGGAGAGGAAGAGGAGGAGGAGGAGCAGGAGGAGGGGAGGAGGGAGGGAGGAGGGAGGATCCCCCTTTCCCGATGCTTCCTCCTCCTCCCTCCTCCTCCCTTCTCGGCGGCCTGGTCGGCGTCCCGCCCGACGTCGAGCTTCCACCGGCCGCCCGAGGTCGAGCTGCCCCAGAACTCGGTGTACACCAGAGGTGGGCAGGAGAAGCTGACGCAGGAGGGGCAGGGAAGTGGCGGGGGCACGAGGAGTTACATGCGATGAGGATGAACTGGGAGGAAGGAGGAGGAGGAGGAGGAGAAGGAGGAGAGGAAGAGCGGTAGGAGGAGGAGGAGGAGGAGGAGGAGGAGGAGGAGGAGGAGGAGGAGGAGGAGCACCGCGTACTCAGAGGAGCGCAGCGTAGGAGGCCACGTACTCAGAGGAGGAGGAGGAGGAGGAGGAGGAGGAGGACGAGGAGGAGGAGTAGGAGGAGGAAAAGAGGAGGACGAGGACGAGGACGAGGAGGATAACACCGGCGGTGCACTGCGAGCCAAAGGGACGCCAGGCAAATCCGGAACGCCACACAAGCCGACCTGCCATAGGCAAGCTCGCGCAAAGAACCCTTGCCTGAGGAGACAATGCAAAGGCAGGAAGGAGAGACCGAGGAACAAGAGGAGCGGGGAGAACAAGTGGATTGTGACGAGGAGGAGCAGCCGCACCCAGAAGCACCTGGAGGTCTCCTGGAGGCTGCAGGCCAGGGCGGTAGGGGGGGGGGAGAGCAGGAAAAGGAGGAGGTGGATGTGGATGTGGACTGTGCGGAGCAGCAGCGGGGAGGGGGGGCCAGCATCACGTCGGCGCCGAAGCCGATCACGAGGAACAGGGCCACGAAGGCGGCGAAGGACACCTGCGAGGCCAGGGGTGCCGCGAGGCGAGGCCTTCCTCGTCTCACGGAGGTTATCCGAGACAGAGCCCTGGAGTCGGCAGGCCCGAAGTGCCAGAGAGGGCCTCTGACCCCCTGCTCCATCTTCATCCTCCATCCTCATCCTCCATCCTCATCCTCCGCCCGTCGTTCTCCCCTTCCACTCCACTCTTCTTTCCCTCCCCTCCCGTCCCCATCCTGCCCTTTATCCCCTTCCATCCCCGTCCCAATCTCCCGTCTTCCAATTGCCTCATCCTCCTCCTGGTCCTCCTCTCGTTACTCCCTCCCTCCATGCTCCCCTCTCATCTCCGTCATCCCCAGCCTCATTTCCCTCATCCTGCTCCTGCTCGTCATCCTGTCCTCCTCCTCCTCCTCCTCCTCCTCCTCCTCCTCCTCCTCCTCCTCCTCCTCCTCCTCCTCCTCCTCCTCGATTCCCAATCCTCCCTCATCCTCCGCCCTCTCCGCCTCCCCCCGTCCATCCTCGTTCGCTCTCTCCCTTCCCCTCCACCTTTTCCTCTTCCTCCCCCCTCTCTTCGTGCCTCCCCTCCTCCCCTCCCCCCACCCACCGTTTCCTCTTCCTCCTCCTCCCCCTCCTCCTTCATCCTCCTCCTCCTCTCCTCCTCCTCCCTCCTCCTCCTCCTCCTCCTCCTCCTCCTCCTCCTCCTCCTCCTCCTCCTCCTCCTCCTCCCCCCCCACCTCCTCCACCTCCTCCTCCTCCTCCTCCGCCTCCTGGGGCACAGGGAGAAGGGGGGGGGGCACGGGCCGCGCGGGGAGGGAGCACCCTGGAGCGCGGAGGCCTCGGGCGCTCCGGCGCGCTGCCCGCGCGGAGAGGCCCCCGTCGCCGTGCAGGGCCCCGGAGGGGCAATGGCGCAGGCACTTTGTGGGCCCCGGAAACGGCAGGGCCGTTTTTTGGGACGCCCGAAATGGGTACTGAAAGAATGGGTACAATGCCCAACAACAGTTCCTGTTCATTTTGAATAGGGCTCGCTGTCCACGCCGCCGCGGCCTGTGCACATTGGAGACAGGAGGCCGCCCGCCCAACAGCGGCCGCTGTTGGTTCGGGACAACATTTGTTGTTGGGCATGTTGCCCACTTTTTCGGTGCCCATTTCGGGCGTCCAAAGTTTTTTTCACCGCTTCCAAAAAAATGTCCCTCGAGAATGGAAGCGGCAAAAAGCACGGCGACCGGAAACGGCAAAAAAAACAGCTCCAGGACTGGAGCCGGAGCCGGAACCGGTCAAACAACGGCGACGGAACCGGCAAAAACGGCGTTGGAACCGGCAAAAAAACGGCAAAACGGAACCGGTAACAAAAACGGCCCTGTCGTTTCCAAAGCCCACTAAGCGCAGGCACGCCCGGAGAAGCAATGACTTGCCATCGGGGCGCGCAGTCGGAGCGCGACCGCCCGCTGCGCGGGAGGCACGAGAGTAGAGCCGTCGGGGCTGCGCGGAGGCCAGGTTACCAGCCTGGAACATATCCCTATCCCTATGCTGGGCATCTCCTCATCACGATGCCAATCTCAGGGATTCCCTTATTTTTTGAGGGCGGATCCCTAAGATTGTCATCGCCTTTTGGCGTGTCAATCGTAAGGATAGGGATACGTTCGAGGCTGGTAACTAGGGAAATCGTCGTCGGCGGGTCCCAGTAGAAGCCTGGGGTGGCCCAGGGCGCTCCGGGAGCTCGCGGGGCGCACCCGGAGTGCCGCGGCGAACTCTCCTCGCGAAGGTCAGGCGCCGCGGCGGAAGGACCCCCCCCCAGAGCGATAGCACGGCAGACTCGCCGCTCGCTGGCGAAAAAAACGCCGCCCCTCTGACGCACATGCGCACCTTGAACTGTACACTCACCCCATTTGTCTATGGCGCGGTCCGCAGCGCTAGACCAGCCGGACAGGTGCTTGAATCCTGTCTGCGGCCGAGGCCGCGCCTGGGGCGCCCTGAAGGTAAGCGGCCTTGCTGTGGCGGCCTGTGACGCACCCCAGGGGAGCGAAGCTGGGCTGCTGCCGCGGCGGGCAGGGGGGCGCCCTTGTGGCACCGGGGCGCGGCCCCTCGCCGTCGTCTTTGCGAGCAATTTCCCCACTGCGCTATCTGCCCTATCGCGCTCGAGCTCACTGGAAGCAGCCCGCGTCTTCGAGACGTCGGCTCGCTCCTGGAGGCAGGACCCTGCGGATGCCGCCTACTGCGTCGGAGGCGGCGCGGGCGAGCCGGGCCCGCGCATTGCACTGCCCGCGGCGGCGGAGGCGCAGAAGGCGATGCCGGGGGACAGGTCGGATAGCGCCATCCCCAGGCACTCCGGATTTCGTAATAAAGGGAGGGGGGTCTCATTTCGGGGGGGGGGGTCTCTTCCAGGCTATTTTCGAGGGCCTGGGGGGTCTGGGGACGATGTTTTGGAGGGTTCTCCCACGGGGGGGGGTCTAAAACTTCTCGTCTGGGAGGGTTGAGACCCCCTCCCTTTTATTACGACATCTGGAGTAGCCACTGGTGCTTTTCTGAAAGATCCCGATGAGCTTGGTCACGTTCGTCTTCGTGGCCGTCTCGATGCCAGACGCCCTCCGAGCTCCAATGGCGCGGGGGGTCTCTGCTGCGTCCTTCGGCGGGCCGCGCTTGCCGCTTCATGTGTGGGATCAGCTAGAAGGCTTCCCGAACAATCCGCTCGACAACGCTCGGCATCATCATGGCGCGGAGAACCGCGCGCGCCAACCATGCCTCGACGGCGCCCGCCGCGTCTCTGCGCCCAGATGCTTTCGGCCGCAGCCAGCTCGTCGAACGAGTTAGCGCCCTTGAACACGGCGCTACACAGCGCGCCGTCGTTGATGACGCCGACGCCGCAAAGGTTGATAATGGCGTCGACGTCGTTGACCTGGCGGCGCTTCTCATGCCGGTCGCCCGCCGCCGCGCTCGAGAATCCAAGACGCGCGCACGCGAGCTCGACGCACTCCACGATGCGGGCGCCGCGAGGGTCAGCGGGCACCGCCGAGCCGGCGCAGGCCGGCGACGCGACGCTGGCGGCCGCGGCGCTGGCAGGCAGCGCCGCACCCCTGCCGGCGCTGGCCAGCGCCGCGGCGGCCGGAGCAGGCCGCGGCCCCGCGCAGGCGGCAGCGTCCGCGCCCGCGGGCGAGGCGGCGTCCACAGCACGGCCCCCCTGGACGTGGGGGGGCCGCCGAGGGCGGCCGGCGCCGCCCCCTTGAGGGACGCGGCCGCCGTCGGGCGCGGCCGCGACCGCGGCCGGCCGCCGCGGAGGCCGCGCCGCCGCCGCCAGGGGCCCCCCTGTGGGGCCGGCGCGCTTCCCGCGGGCGCGGGCGGGGGCAATTAGCAGGCGCGGGGGGCGGCCGCGGCCGCGGGCGGCCTCGAAGCCCTCTTCGGGCGGCAGCGGCCCTGCCTGGCCGGCGGCCCTGCCAGGCCGGCGGCGGGGGGGAGGAGGAGCGGGGGGGAGGGCGGCGCGCGAGCGGCGGGCCGCCGTACCCCAGAGCCACCTCGACCCTCCTCCTCCGTCCGCCCTCCCTCCTCCTCCTCCTCCTCCTCCTCTCCTCCTCCTCCTCCTCCTCCTCCTCCTCCTCCTCTCCTCCTCCTCTTCCTCCTCCTCCTCCTCCTCCTCCTCCTCCTCCTCTTCCTCCTCCTCCTCCTCCTCCTCCTCCCCGCGCCTTCCTCCACGACTGCCGCCCCCCGGGGCCGGCTGGGCGCGGGGGCCTTCCCGGCCGTGCCATGCCGGATTCACCGCGGCCGCGCCATCGTCCTTCATGCATCCGCCAAAGCGCGCCCCCTGTTTTCGACCGAACGCAGACCGGCCGATTTCGAGCTCTCTTCGCGCCTTCAGCAGCAATCGCACGTCCGCGAGCTCCATGCGCCAAGGGCAAACGGCCACGAGCAGGCCCACCGAGCGGCCCGCGCTGCGCGCGGGCACGGGCGCACAGTGCATCGCAGAGGCGCAGAATCGCGCGAAAACAGATGCGACTCGGCGACGCCGCCGCGATCCAGCGCCGTGGATGCGGCGCGCGGGCGGCGCAGCCCATGGCGCCATGGCTTCCATGCGACGTGCTGAGCAGCCTCATGCGCGCCCCCGTATCGCGCAGTCAGCTCGAGGCCTCCACCGCTGCTCGGTTTTGCAGTTTCCCCAGAGGCCGCTGCCCCACCCCGTGCAAGACGAATTCCAGCACTGGCGCGCTCGCGGAACTCTCCCAGATAGCGAACGAGGCATGAATTACTGCATACAGCCCGCACGTCACGCCCATCTGGGCAGCGCGGCCCACGGCGCCACCAAGAACGCGCGGAGCACAGCCCTCTACCAGCGCGCCGATGCGTCGCCCGAGCAAAAAAAATCCCTGGCGAAGGAAGCAACCATATGTAGTTGTGAGTAACGCGTTGTGGGTGCTGCTTTCGGTGGAGCTGCCCATGGGGCAACGAAGCGCGTGAGGACGTGCCGTAATGGGTGGGGGTGACGCATGCGGGCGGTGCCACTGGGGCCTTCGGTGGAGCTCCCTATAGGGCCACGAGGCGCTGTACTGGGTAGTGGCTGACGCATGCGGGCGGTGCCCCTCGCTGGAGCTCCCGATGAGGCCACGAAACGCTGTACTGGTTGGGGGAAACGCATGCGGGCGGTGCCACTGCGGGCCATCGGTAGAGCTGCCTACGGGGCCACGAATTGCTGTGCTTGGTGTCCGACGCATGCGGGAGGTGACAGTGGGGCTTCGGTGGAGCTACCCATGGGGCCAGCCACGAAGCGCTGTACTGGGTGGGAGGTCGCATGCGGGCGGGCCACTGGGGCTCCCTACAGGGCCACGAAACGCTGTACCTGGCGGGGGAGACGCATGTGGGCGGTGCCACTGGGGCTTTCGTTGGAGCTCCCTATCGGGCCACGGAACGCTGTACTGGCTGGTCAACGACGCATGCGGGCGGTGCCACTGGGGCCTTCCGGTGGGGCGACCTATGGGCCCACGAAAGTTGTACTGGGTGGTGGCTGGCGCATGCGAGCGGTGCCACTGGGGCCGTGGGT